TGAATAAGGGAAGGTGACTCCGAGGCCTGCGGACTCCGAGCAGGTATACCTAGAAGTCTCCGGCAAAAGCAGCTAGCAAGACTCTCTAACTACCGGCACGAGCAGATGTACCTGGATCTGCACAAAATGATGTGCAGAAGTATAGTATGAGTACAGCACAACGGTACCCAGCAAGTACCAAGCCTAACTTCAGTAGAGTAGTGACGAGGCCAGGTCAAGACACCTACTAAGATATGAAATAAACAGTATAAGATGAAATGCAGATATAAAATGGAAAGTAAGAAAACAACTAATACAAAAAATGATGGTAGCATGAAAAAAACAAATAGAGAACTACAATGGCCATGTACGGACACCAATTCGATAGAACACTAAGAATGAAACAACAAATATAATTATCCACCAAAACACTTTGTAACATGGAATGACAACAAAAATCACATCGAGGTACCGCCTCGTGTATAATGAAATCAAAATCAAGGTACCGCCTCGTATAATCAAGAATAACAATCATGGTACCGCCTCGTATTTACATTTCTCCATTTCAATCACATATTTCCTTATGCCGCCGCGTGAGCCTTACATTTGAAAATAGGTTTTGAAAATAGTTTTCCTGAAATAGCTACACGCACTTTAGCCCACCTTATGACGGCGCGTGGCTTCCCGTAGTTCCCCTACAAGCAACACGCACATAAGTCCCACCTTATATCGCCGCATGTACATCAATCCAAGCCTTATACCGCCGAATGCGCATCAATATCACATCACAATAACAACATCGCACCACAAGTGCCCACATATCACAACTTGCCAAAAACAACATTATCAATGTCTCCACAACAATGGCACATGGCTCCAACACAATGTATACGAGAATGTTAACAACAATAATGGATGGAAAATGCTCAATAGGATAGATGTTTCAACAATAACCAACATCGCCTCAACGTATTAATAACTTCCACAACCTCAACATAAAATAACTTAACAATGGGAAGAACAACGTGTAACCATAATATATTAGATAAGACTAACTCACAATAAAGGAAACAATCTTCAACAATGAGTAACAAATAATGGAAATCAATAAGTAAAGGGCAATATGAACAATTAATTCAACAGTGATAATTAACAATGAAGAGATATCATGTGTCAATATAGGAGCAACAAGTTCAACTAAAACATGGGAGCAATTTAGCCAGTAAGATGTAGGACAATTACTAAACAATTCAACTAAGCATATAAGGATAGTCTAACACAATTAAGGACGAAATAACTATGAGAATCCAGAACATAGCATGGGCCTAACCGGTAAAATACTACATACAACCCATGTACCCACTCGTCACCTTGCGTACAGGGATTTCACTAACACAATTGAACCAAACAATGCCAATCCTAAGGGGTAGTTTCCCCACACGAAGTTAGGCAAGACACTTACCTCAAATAGGACAATTCACAACTCAGAAATAACTTTTCCTTTAAAGCCGGCCCCCACACGGCTCAAATTTAACCAAAATCAACTCAATAACATCAAACAATTCTAGGGAATTCAATTGCAATAGATAAAGTTAGAATTTTTACACTTTTTTCAAAAAGTCAACCAAAGTTAACCCAGGACCCGCCCGATCAAAACCGGGTCCTGTGGTAGATTCTATCTACCCATGACCCTACGAGTTCATATATGTGATTAGTTACAAAATCTAACCTCAATTCGAAGTCAAAATCTAAATTTACAAAAATCCCTAATTCTACCCAAATCCCTAATTTCTACCATGAAAACCCTAGATTTGATGTTGGAAACTTATGAAATGTAATGGGTAATCGAAAAGAAATAGATTAAAGTCACTTACCAATGAATTTAGGAAGAAAATCTCTTGGGAAAATCGCCTCTAAGGTGTTTAGGCTTGAGAGTTTGAAAGAAATGAGCTAATTCCCGCTTTACTCAACTTTTGTCCAGGCGAAGATGTCGCAATTACGACCTGGGGTTCGCAACTGCGAACCTCGTAAATGCGAGAATTGTTTCGCAAATGCGAAGAAGCCCACATCTCTGCTAACATCGCATTTGCGATGATTTGTTCAAAAGTGCGAACTGTGGAGTTCCGCAATTGCGACCGCTTGATCGCAATTGCAATCTTTGATGACCCAGCCCCCTCTTCACAAATGCGAAGAAATTAATCCCAAATGCAAACCTGACAGAGGCCCTCTGATATCGCAATTGCGAGGTCTGAGGCCTGCACCAGAAACAGATTGCACCAGCTATTTTTCCTAAGTCTAAAACCACTTTGAAGCCTATCAAAAACTCACCCAAGCCCTCGGGGCTCCAAACCAAACATGCACACAAGTCCAAAAATATCATACGAACTCACTCACGCGATCAAAATTCGACATTACAGACCAACTCCAACTTCCGGAATAGGAATCCCACCCTGATATCAAAAAGTCCACTTCCGGTCAAACTTCTCCAAAACCTTCAAATTTCTAACTTTAGCCAAATGACTCCAAAATGACCTACAGACTCCAAATCCACTTCCGATCGCGCTCCCAATACCAAAATCACCATGCGGAGCTATTCCCAGACTTAGAATCCCAAACGGACATCGTCAACACTGAAATGCAATTCATCCCAAATTTATGAAATTCACCCAAAAATGCTAACTTCCACAATAGACGCCGAAATGCTCCTGGGTCATCCAAAACCCGATCCGGACATACGCCCAAGTCCAAAATCATCATACGAACCTACTGGAACCTTCAAATCCTGATTCCGAGGTTGTTTACTCAAGAATCCAATCTTAGTCAATTCTTCCAACTTCAAGCTTTTGAAATGAGAATTTTCTTTCCAAATCCAATCCAACTTCCCGAATTTCGATTCCGACCATACATACAAGTCATAATACCTGAAGTGAAGTTACTCATGGACTCAAACCGCTGAACGACGCGCTAGAGCTCAAACGATCGATCGGGTCGTTACACTAAGTTTATTAGCAATTTAGTTCCTTTCCTACAACAAGATGGAATGGTGTTAAGAATATTTTTAAATACCTCTAAGGGACTATTGATATGAGATTATTTTATTCTTATGAATCTGGTTCACAAATGATTAATTATGCAGATGCAGGTTATTTGTTTGATCCACACAAAGGCCGATCTCAAACGGGCTATCTATTTACTTGTGGAGGTACAACTATTTCATGACGTTCAACAAAATAAACTTTAGCTGCTATATCTTCCAATCATGCAGAGATAGTAGTTATTCATAAGGCTAGTCGAGAATGTGTATGGTTGAGATCAGTGACTCAACACATTCATCAACTGTGTGGTCTTTCTTTAAAGATGAAGATTCCAACAATATTGTATGAAGATAATGCTGCTTGCATAGCTCAACTAAGGAGGATATATCAAAGGAGACAGAACAAAGCACATTTCACTAAAGTTCTTTTTCACGCATGATCTTCAACAAATTAGTGAGATAGATGTTCGACAAATCCGTTCAAGTGATAATCTGGCAGATTTATTCACTAAGGCATTGCCAACATCAACATTTGAGAATCTGAGACATAAGATTGGAATGCATCGTCTCTGAGATATCAAATAAAGTTTTCATCAGGGGGGATCCAATACGTGATGTACTTTTTTTCCTTAACCAAGGTTTTGTCCCAATTGGGTTTTCCTGGCAAGATTTTTCAGCACTCAATGCGTATTACAAGATATGTGTACTCTTTTTCCTTCACTAGGCTTTTTTCCACTGAATTTTTCTTAGTAAGATTTTAACGAGACACATTATCTTTTAAATGGCATCCAAAGGGGAGTATTATGAATTCAATGAATTTGTGTGGATGTTCGTTCATTCTTCTATGGATCCCATTCGATGAACCTATATTCTTATTGAATGTTTCATTAAAATGTTGTAACTTTCAGACGATTTTACACTCTATAAAAGGGACTTTAATTTTTGTATTATAAGATACTTGAATGAGAAATATTTATATTCTCTTCTCTTCATTACTTGCTTTATTTTCTTCTTATTTTATAACATAAATAATATATTATGGAGTATTTTACTTTTGATAGTCAGAAAAATTAAATGAATACGTTAATATTTTTCCATAAAGAGAATCAAGAGATAAAAGGGTCAAGTTCTTCGAGTGTACGGTTGACACTCTAATTGTCCGGCCAAGCAACCTCAAGAGAATGGGAGTAAAGAACATTTTGTCTATATTACATTACTACAAATCATTATTTTTACATTTTACATTTAGGGTGTGTTTGGTATAACGGAAAATATTTTCCGAAAATATGTAATAATCTTATTCATTTTCCGGTGTTTGGTACGCAAATTAAGGAAAATGACTTCTCAAGAGTATTCATAAATAATTTAGATATAATATGAAGCCATAAACTTTCAAACCAACAACCTTCCGGACCCACAAATTTCATAAACTTTCGAACTGCTAATCTTTCAAAGCCGCGGAATTTCGAACCTGTAAACTTTATAATTTCTAAACTCGTAAACTTCCAAACACATAAACCTCCGAACTCATAATATTGGAACTTGTAAAATTTTGAGTCTTTAAACCGATAAATAATAAAATTAAAACTGAAAAATATATTTACAATTTTTTTTTCGGGAGGGGGGGGGTTGCAGAAAAATAAAAAAACAGAAATTTGAAATTGCAAAAAAAAAAAATTAAGTTAAAAAAAAATATTTTTTTGGGGGGGTGAAGGGGTAGTAGGGTGGGCGGTAACGAAAAAACTGAAATTTGAAAAAAAAAAAAGATCTTTTTTTGGAGAGGGGGTGGGTTGGTGAGGGTGGGGAAGGTTGAGAAGGAGCTTTGGAAAATGTTTCCCTTTCCTTGATAAGGAAAATATTTTCCAAAATATTTAAGCCAACCAAACATGGGAAAATTGAAAAACATTTCATACCAATCACACCCTTAGTGTGGTAATTTAGTCCACGTGTCACATATTTGGAGAGGGAGCGCCGGTTGAGACGAATGTTATAAAACAATCTAATAATAAGGTATTTTTGTAAGGGAACATTTAACAAGACGCTTGAATTTGAATTAACTAATTACCGACATTACACCTTCCTATGATTAGGGAATGCCCAGTCAACCTCTAATTACAGGCATCACACCAATTAAAGTCCTTGTTCTCCCAAAAAGCCTCACTAATCATTTTCAGTAACTTGCAACAGGGTAGGAGCAAAGGTGATTATCAGAATCGGTGGTTACTGTAAAATGTGACTCTACAATTAGACTTTCTTACTGCAAGATGGGGTGAGGTTTGTTGGTTGGTTGGTGTGTGTGTGGGGGGGGGTGGGTTAGAGCCGCAAAAGTTCAAGTACAATATGAAGGGACAAACTGATACTGAGCTATATTAACACCTCTATAAATATATTTACTGCATAACTCGTTTCAAACTCGCTAAATATTAAATTACCAAAGAATTTTGAGACTACACTTCCTTGTTTATTCATCAAGTTCCTGATCCCTGATCCACTTTGTGGCAACCCATTTTTCGCCTCTGATTACTGGACAGCTCCCGTGAAGAGATGTCTGCATTAGAGATTTAGAAATGTGAAAAATCGCAAAGATCACATGAGCATGATGACATATTGTTGGTAATCGATAATCTGCTTTATAACCAGTAGTACCCGCAGAGGGGAAGAAAGGAAGCAAACAACAAAAGATGAAGCAGTAAAGGAGAATCAGAAAATGGAACAGTAATAACAACATTATAACCTTTCTCATCAATATCCATGCAATGTGGCAATAGCTACTATAGGCTCCCATTCCACTGATTAATTACAGTAATACAACTAGGCTCCCATGCCACTGATTAATCAAAGTAGAACAAATATTCTTAGCAGTACCAAATCAATCTGCTTCAACAAATATGTTCATAGTATCACTGTAGTAGGATTGATCAAGAGTGGTTCTCACAGAAAGGAAATAGGAACACACAGAGAGAAACAAAAAGAACAGAAGCGGAAGCAATGGAAGCAATTTAGAGATGTATCTTGAAGATGTAGGCAATTCTTAACCTTTTATCATCTTTTCATTTTGTGGGGAACTCCCTAATCAAAAATGCAAGAATGACATCTTCTTACATGGATGCTGTATGAAGCTGTCAGGGTGCACAAAGTTTGCCTTGTATCCCATCTAACCTATTGCTTATAATCTCCTTTGTAGCAATTTATCATAACTGCATCTTATATCCAGTCTATATGTACTGTCTGATATCCCGACAATTGCCATAAAAAGTAAAAGGCGAAAAATTGTTCACTGTGCTTACTGCACAGCTGTGTATATTGTTATGAAGAAAATAGAAATGGGACAACAATGAAATCCAAAAGAACAACTCACCGGATCAATTGTACCATTTGGAAAGAGTGAGTAGAACAGTAGTCCATCCCCTCTACGCGGCTTCACTTTCAAACCAATACACTTGCGGAAGTCATAATTAGCATCCATGTTCTGCCCATTCTGTAAATTAACGAAGGACTAATTTACCCAGCAGGACAGGGAGAAAGGTAACAGTGGTCCAAGATGATGAAACAACCGTGAACTCACCTCGAAAGGAAACATGGTTTCTCCACCTTCTTCCACATCAGATAAATACAATAAAAAGGATGCAACCTAAATGAAATTTATTTTAGTCAGGACACGTGAAAGTAATCACTACTCAAAATTTAACTGCAACTGTACTATATTAGAATCAGACATGTTAACGTTCATAAGCTTTGTAGAGGCTAAGGTAAGCTTGCTCTAAACACTTTTGGGTCTATCTAGAGTGTAAGCAGAAAAAAAGGAGTAACAAGAGGAATGACACATGATAATTTCTTGTTCTGTTTAGTCAAATAAAATATAAAATCTCAAACAGTAAAACCTGAAAACAGCTGGTCGACATGCTGGAAAAAATTTGGTCTAACAGTGATATTTTAATTACATGATAGAAGCAAGCAAATACTAACACCAATTCTCTCCAAATACAAAATTCTCACTGACAACAGAAACCGGTCAAATAAAGAGAATTCCAGTTTAGAGTATATTTCATTCAATCTGGGATAAAGCTGTGTTGTTTGGAATTCTCTCTCATGCGACATTTTGCTATAGAGAGTTCCACAGAACTGCATAGAATGAATGCTGTCTGCAGCTAGTGGTGATCCAAATAACAGACCATGGTGATTCCTTGTAAAGAAATGAAATCATTGCAATCAATCAGCAAATTTGTGCCATAGGAACGATAACTTCAAACACTTTACTTTATTTCTTTTTCTTTTTCCATATTTCATATTTTTGAGGGAGAGGGGATTGGGAGAAACATGCATATGAAAACAAGACTAAGAGAAACATGCATATGAAAATAAGACTAACTTATCTAAATAACCAAACACTAAAAATTAATGCACCACTCATGATGCCAGTTTCTGTAAGACTAATTGAGCTACTAGAAAATTCACAAGTCAATTGGAAAAGTTAACAGCAACAATCCATTGAAAGTAGTTCGTACATACCCTTTGGCTCTTCTGAGGACCATATTGAGAAGGATCAAATGCATCATAATGTGAATGATAACTCTGGCCGATTTCATACCGCAACACATTAAATGCCTAAAAAATGCAGAGGAGAACTGATTCAAGTTAAACAGCAATTATGTTCAAGACTAAAACAATACTTAATGTTCTCATGAACAGAAGAATCAGTCAGAACTAGTAAAAGCAATTAAGAGAAAGTTCAGACACAAAAGGTTAGCAGCCTAACTAGCTATCAATTATCGGATGTATAGGCTACATAGATGCATTATATGCATCATTACATTTAACTCAAAATCCAAGGGAAATTGAACAAGTATTCTGGGAACACAGCACAAGAACTCCATCAGTTTCAGATAATACTCAAAACCCAGATTTTCCTCATTATACATTAAAGCATACAACAGCGAGAGATGCTCAGTTGTCTCTGACTTTCCTGTTAAAATGCACACCTTGAACTGTTGTCTCATTTTTATATCGAATAAGTCTCTTGTTAGAATACTTAAAGACCACACCATGTGACAGATGGCTAGTTGATCCAGAAGTGAAAACAAGCCGTCAACTACAATGAATGAGCTTTTCTGCACGAGTAAACTTGAAACAGAAGAGAGCCCAATAGGAATATACATATTATTTTTCACTCATTTCGAACTAAATTGGCACCTTTCTCAAAAATCCATATTAGTAATGATTTTATCAGTACACCAAAGGACTTGTCCTCTTCAGTATCGATCACCTCTTGGAAGGACGCATTACATAGTGGAGACTTACAAACTCTAATAAATAGGTGTTCCAGCATTTTACAAATGTACTATCAGCTATGTTGCTCAGATCCTGCAAAAATGCAGCTGCACCCGTATCTAATCCTCCGAAAATACATTATTTTTGGAGGATCTAACACACCCGACGACTTTTTTGGAGGATCAAAGCAACATAGACTTTCAGAGCTTGAATCAACTTAGTTTTCAAGAAAATAGAAGGTGCGGGAGAGCGAAGGAAATGAAGAAGCTCTGGAAAAGGATTCGCCACCAATGGTACTGCTATTATGTCCTCAACTAGAATCCAATTTCAAATGTATGGACGCAAAGATAAAACTGATATACAGTGAGAAGCGCTTCATGCATTATATTTAGGATGCGTGTTTTAAATGAGTTTTACCTCTCCATGTGTCCTGGGGATCATAGTCGCCCTTGCAATTTTTTCCTCAATGAGGTCCAAAATTCCAGTTTTGTCTTCAGATGAACTGATAAACATGCCAGAACTGGGGAAAAGGAAAAAAGTGTAAAGTTCATGCAAGATTTGTAACTTGTCAAAACCAAAAGAGGTGGAAAACCTCTATAAAATAGTTCTTTCAAAAAAAAGATCAAAGAAACTCTAAAAAAATGATCAGGAAAGGAAAACAAGACACATGGCCAGTTCAAATACCATGAACAACTTTGTCTTCCAAAAAGTATAAAATGTATATGCACTCACACCCAATTCATGATGAACTTATCTACCAGAAATGGATATTACGAAAATATGTTTAAGTTGATTAAGAGTTAGAGCCCGTTTGGATGGGCTTATTTTAAGTGACTTTTAAGCATAAGCCATAAGTTAGGAATTCTAGCTTTTGGCTTTTGGCTTGTTTTATCATTTTAGCTTAAAAACAAGTGCTTAAAAGCACTTTTTTACTTTAATCAAACACTACAAAATAGGTTAAAAGCTATTTTGGCTTAAAAGCACTTAAAATAAGCCAATCCAAACGGGCTCATAATCTAAGACATTTTCAACTAACTCTTGGAAAGAGTAAAAAGATGCATTTATGATTAAAAGAAAAGAAATTTCAATCAAGACATTGTAATGACTTAAACCTCAATAAAATTCTTGGATAGTGTTAAAGATGGGGTCAATTGTTTTGGGACATGAGCGAAGCAAAATAGAAGGTCATTCCCCAGAGTAGTGTTTACCTTGTTCTAATTCCTTTCGTATTCTCTGCTGTTTCTCCTTTGCGGAGAGCCAAAGCTGATGGTTTCAGCTCCGCCTTTGCCATCTTAATAATGCCTTGGCATTGTTCTTCAGTTGCAAAATTGGGAAAGTATAATGCACGTGGGAACCAGCTTAAGACCTATAAAAAAGATAAAATCAGCGTCATAAAATACACCAAAACAAATGAATACAAATGTGGACCAAAGATACAGACTTATATAGTAACGAGTACACCATAAATTAAAGATTTCTAAATTTACCTGCTCAGGGATAAAATCAGGAAGCTAACATGGTCATTTACAGCTACAGCTATTATGTGAATAGACTTAAATACATGCCTAATACTGCTGCTTCCTTCTCCTCTCAACACCCCCAAACCCACCCCCAATCGGCCGTAGCAAATGGGAATCGTAAATAAATAATAAAATAGTAGATGAGGTAGAAGAAGAAGAGTAGAAAGTAGGGAATGGGTATTTATTCATAGTCTTACTTAATTACCCATTTATGTTACTGATCAAGAAACAAAACACCAATTGACGTTACTTCAGCTGTAACAAAAAGGGGCGTCATTGCATCAAAGGCAACACGCTTAAGCAATGTTAATGTTGATTCATCAAAATAGTTCAAAATCCAACAATTTGAACTATATACACAAATAATAATTTTGGAGCACAAATGGTTTTAAACAAAAAATCCTGAAATCGACTAAAAATCGAACCAGGGCTAATCAGCAAAGAGAAAAGAGATCCCAAACTTGAGAGTTGAAACAACAGAAACAGACCTGAAAGGGGATGGAAGTGAGTGAATGTTCTCCAGTCTCGCCATTGGGCAAAGCATCAAATTCTTCCACAGATTCAAGCACCCTCGACCTCGGTCGTACACTACCTACTTGTACATCCTAATCGCACCCAAACACTTTGATCAGTACATGTATACAATATAGAAATCCATCAGTTACAAACTAAAAAATTACTAATAGGAAGTCTACCTGCTGAGAGATGAGAGTAGAACCGAATAAACCGACGAGGAAGAAGAAAAGACAAAGGAGAAAAACCGAAGGTAACCCTAAGCTCCACCATCTTTGTCCCAGTAATTTGCCTCTGCTCTTCATGTTTTTCCGCTGATGAAGAAAATCAATTGACTATAAGAGACTTTAGTTTTGTTAACTGATAATTTCTCTGTGCTATTTAATAACAACCCAAATATCAGAGGGGGGAAAAAACGGGGTGGTGTGAAGAAAGAGTGCATATGTACGATCTTTGACTTCCGCACGCGGCGGGAATTCTTTTCTCTCTTTTCTTCTTTTTTGGTTTTAGCTGAAATTGGTCATTTTTTTGCTAGAAGGAGGTTTTATCTTGATGCTTAATAATTGAGTGCGACAATACATGAGATAATTTAAAGGAGGTTGGACGTGCCACTTGCATCATAACATAGGTGCATGAGGGTAAAAGGGGACTCTTCAAAATACAAGATTGGGTCTAGAGTGATCTTGTGTTTGATTTTCCAAATTTTGCCAGTGCATCCGTAACTCTATTTCTTTCTCGCATTGCGTGGTTGAGTTGTTGTATGTTGAGTTCCTGGATCAATGACCTGCAAGATGTTATGAGTTGTAAGTATCTTGGGCTTCCAGTTTGAAGTATTTGAAGTAATACCTGAGAGTGTGTTTCAACAATTAATGGACGAAATCTTCGAGTGGCAGCAATTGTCAGTCCATGGAAAAGTATCAGTAATTCAGCCTGAAGGGTATTTGTACTTGGTAAATGTGTTGCAAAGCCGTAGATCCATTATCCCGTGGAGTCACGAAAAACTCCTCTTGCTCCTCCATGGTGATTTGTTGGATCATAAGCCCCGTCGATGTTGAGTTTAATATGTGGTGACTGTGGGTAGCCCAAAGGGTAATTTCTCTCTTAGCCTTAGTTTTTTTGTAAGGGATATTTGTTAAATAATAAACTTGAGATGCTAGAGATATGACTGTGGTGGTGTCTATTAGGTGGTTTTGGTTTTTGAAGTGGTTATTATTGTGATTTAGCCAAAGTTGCCACAAGAGGATAGGTGTTAAGATGAAAAAAGGTATAGAAGTGCTGGAGTTTAATTGGATTGGTGTATGTGAGGTGCAGAGCTTGTGTAGTGCATGAGATTGGTTGTGGGTATTTTAATACGGAGGTGGCGCCACAAGGTGCTTGCTGATTTGCAATGTAGAAAGATGTGTGGGATATCCTCGGGGATATTAATACAATTCGGCAGTATGGGTTATTTGTGATGTTTTTGTAGCATAGAAGTGATTTGGTTGGAAGTTTCTCATGTGAAAGAAGCCATAAAAAAATTTTATTTTTGGTAGTGTGGTTAGTTTCCAGATTCAATTGTTGAGGAAGTTTATTTTGCAGTGAGTATCTTGATATAGTATATATAGGTAGGCTGAGGAAGGGGCAAATGAACCATCATTTGAGTGGTGCCAGTAGGATGTATCTTCTCCTTGTTAGGTTGTAAGGATGGGTGTGTTTTGTATGAGGGACATGATTTGTGGGGGTAATGGAAAGGAGAGATTAGAGGTGTCCCAGGTGGAGTGTGAGATGAGATGTGCCACTGGTTTATGTAGTTCGTGTTTAGGGATAGGATTAGGTGTCTAAGAGATAAGTTATTTGCAATCCAGTGGTCAGACCAAAGGTTTATGTTTTTACCATTAGTTACTGGTTCCTGTGTGATAATAATTGATGTTTTTGATCATGCTTTTCTAAATGTAGGAGTCGTTAGGGTGTGTTTTTTTATTATATAGAAAGTTTTTGAAATATTCTTATGGGTGGTCATATTTTGCTGATAGGATGTTTGCCCAAGGAGAATTATTGGAATGTGTGTAACGCCAAAGGAGATTTGTTAGCAAAGCTTTATTCTTTTGGGATAGTTTTTGTATTCCATAGCCCCTTCGGATTTTGGAGTGGTGATCTTGTCCTAGTTTATTAAATGCAATTTACGTTTTTGTTTCGTTGAGCCCCATAGGAAATTGCGTTGAATTTGGTCTAGTTTGTGTATTAGTTTGGGTGGTAGTAGATTAATTTGCATTGCATATGTGAGAATTGTGTTTAGGACTGATTTGATTAGGGTTGTCCTTCCCGCTAGGGTGAGAAATTTTGCTTTCCAGCCAAATAGTTTTGATGTGGCTCGATCAATAATGTGTTGGTAATTAGATGTTTTAGGTTGGTTGTGAGTGATTGGTACTCCTAAGTATTTGCATGTGTTTGTGGTAATGGGGATATTTAAGAAATTTGATATGACTTGGCTAAGGGAAGGGTTTACATTAGCTGAGAAAAGAAGTTTTGATTTCTGGAAATTAATTTTTTGTCCAGATTTTGCACTTAATTGTTGGAATATGTCAATTATTGTGGCAGTATTGGAAGTGGTTGCTTGTGCTAGTAGGATGAGGTCACCTGCAAGCATGAGGTGCGAGAGTGGTTGAGCATTTCTATTTAGGTGTATGGGGGTCCACCGGCAAAAATCGACATTGTGCTCAATAATGCGGGATAATGATTCCATACATATGATGAATAAGTATGGTGATAGTGGGTCTCCTTGTCTTGTACCTCTAGAGGGTTGAAAGAAGGGAGTGGGTGTTCCATTGATAATTATGGATACGGAGGAAGTTGTAACACGGGACATTATGAGATTAATTAAGGGTTGCGAAAATCGTAAGTGCTGTAGGAAAAAACGGATGAAGGACCATTCTAATCGGTCAAAAGCTTTTTCGAGGTGAATTTTTATCAACATATTTCCTTTTTTACCCTGTTGTTTTTTAAAAGAATGTATGATTTCCTCTACAAGGATGATGTTGTCAGCTGCCTTACGGCCTTTTAGGAAGCTGCTTTGAGTTGGATAGATTAATTTGGGAAGAAGAGGTTTGATTCTATTAACAATAATTTTAGTAATGATCTTGTATAAGATATTGCATAGGCCAATTGGTCTGTATTGGTGTATGGATTCTGGAAAGTTAGTCTTGCGGATGAGGATAATATTAGTTTTATTTATTTCGGGGGGTATATGGATGTATGGAAGGCTTGTTGGCAGGTGTGTATTACTGCTTGCTTTGTTTCCGACCAAAATTTTTGGAAGAAAATGGGGTGCAGTCCATCCATGCCAGGAGTTTTAAGAGGTTTGAATGAGTTTACTGAATTTGTGATCTCTGAAGTGGATAAGGGTCTTTGTAATGCTTGGATGTCATCATTTGTGAGTGAATTTGAGAAGGTAGAAATAAATTTATTTTGGCAATGTGTTAATTGAGTAGTAAAGAGGTCTTGGTAGTAATTGAGGATTGTATCACGAATAGTGTGGATGTCAAAAGTCCAATTTCCTAGTGAATCATGGAGACTTAGGATTCTATTTTGTCTACGTCTTATTATTGTGGAGAGGTGGAAGTAGGACGTATTAGCATCTCCGTCGTTAAGCCATTGGACGCTGGATTTTAATTTCCAGTATTCCTCCTCTATTCGAAGTAAGTTATTAAAATCCGTGATTAGTTGATTTTAAAGATTATAGTGGAAAGAGTTTTTGTTTCCGGGTTGCATATTTTGAAGTCCTTTCAGATGGGCAATCAGGATTTTTTTTTTTTGTAAAAGATATTTCTAAAAGTGTGAATGTTCCAGTGATTGGCTAGGTCTATGAAGTTGTTTAGGACCTTAGAATAGTCGTTTTTGTCTAGCCAAGTGTTTGCTACAACATGTTGGAATTGAGGGTATTGCGGCCACATCATTTCAAATTTGAAGGTTGGAGCAGGTTTGGAGTAAAGGTTGGTTAAATTAAGAATTAGAGGGCAGTGATCAGAGTGAGTACGTGTTAGGTGCTTGACAATTGAGTCTTGAAATATTCTAGCCGTTTAGTGTTACCATAGAATTTATCAGTCTTTCCATGATGATAGTGTTTGGATGGTTTTTTTTGTGATTAAAATTAGGTTTGTTAGTCCAGGTGGATCTAGGTCCTGAGAATCCTAGATCAATCATTTTAATATTATTAAGGTATTTATTGAAAGTGGAGGATTTTTTTATATTAATAGGTGCTCCGCCAAATTTTTCCTTAGAGGTGGAGACCTCATTGAAGTCACCAAATAGGATCCATGCACAGTTATAATGTTCATGCACTGTTTGTAGATTGTTCCATAGTATATTCCTATCGGTAAAATTATTGCTAACATAATAATGATAGTGACCACGAAGGTGATTTATTTACCTGGACAGAGGCGTGTATTGCTTGACTTGTGATTGCTAATGTATTTATAACCAATTCATGGGCGCGCTAGAGAATAACTATACCTCCTTATTGGCCTTGAGCTGCAACTTGGATTAAGTCTGTATAGTTGAACTCCATGAGTAGCTCAGTGTGATCATCCATTTTTTTTTCTGTGAGGCACAGGATAGAGGGGCTGTTCCATGTGAGCAAGAACCTGAGATTCCGGCGGAATTCTTGATTATGAGCTCCCCGGCAATTCCATAGCATTATCTTCACTAAGCCTTTATGGTGTGTAGGGCTGCTTATCGGGCTAATTGGGCGGTTATTTACTCTTAACGGTTTGGCTTATCGGTTATCAGTTTGTAAATGTATTGATCCGCTATCCACCCGATAAGATATCGGACGGATTGGTATCGGTTTAGCTCTTATCGGGTGGTTATCGGGCGGTTTATCGGCCTAATTCAATCTATATTAGGTGCATTACAGAGGGCATACTATCGCAACAAATATACTGAGTGGCAAGGTTTACACGTTCCACAAGCTGTTGAATTGTGTGAAGACATACACTCTCTTCTAGTAGTTCCAAGTTAGCCTGATGGTCAACTAAATGAGTCTCTTTCCTCTTTCACATGATGAATTTGAACTCATTACATGTTGAGAAATTTGAACCAAGGTTGTTGATTATTACTATCTTTTTATGGTCCGCTTTAGCGGCAACATTTATTTTCTACCGGAAGGTAAAATTATCATGTTAATGATCGATTTCACTTTTAATTTGGAGGTGATGCTGCCTTTTCTTCCTGCTACTATTATGTATTATCTGCTTGTGAATGAAAAGGCACCAGATTAGCGATGACACGTGTTTGATGATGGTAAGTTAAGCGAAACTTAAGGTCAATGGTAACGCTTGGCCGATTATGATACTGGTGGCGTTTGAATTGGATGCGGAACATAGAGATATGATATCACCTGTGGCGTTTGAATTGGATTATATATATATATATATATATATATATATATATATATATATATATATATATATATATATATATTCTTAACGGGTTAACGAATTATTCGTTAAGAAAATTGAATAATC